TGCTGCCCTACATAGATATGCTTGGGATCACGGAACGTATCATGTAATGAATCGATTAAAAAATGCCTGCTGAGAAATTTCTAATGAAAAAAAGAATTTTGATCTGAAGAGTTATAGTTAATAAGTTGTCCTTTTCTATTTTAACCTGGGAAACAAAAACAAAACCACATTTTTTTCTTGACTGGGGGTTAAATTCTCTGATGAAGTGTGAAAAAGTTTTAATAATGACTTCTGCAGAATCTGCAAAACACACACGAAAAAAATGAAGGAAGTCTAATTATGGCCTCATGATTCAAAATGGAATAAGTAATAGGAAGCACTTGCAACAGCACTTACTCAATACAGTTAGACAAAAGCTTCATGAAATGAATGAAGCTTTGAATTGTTATGAAATATGAAATGTTATGCTCAAGCCAGAGAAGACCATAAGAGTTCCAGAAATAGATTAGTATGCTCTAGGAAAAAGAAACAGGGTAGCTGCTAAATTCAAATATGTAAAAGAAAGATGTTAGTGCTGTATGCGTGTGAGAAAAAAAAAAAAAAGTTTTTTCAAGTTTTACAGAAGATGTGGCAAGATCTGAATGCATTTTCTATGGAGAAACTAAAAAAAAAAAAAAAAAAAGAGGAAAACACCTAAAATGTCTCTCAGTTTTCAAGATTTAGCAGAATGTTGATGTTCAGAGCAAGTTACAGTCACAAGTAGCCAACACAAAAGAAGAGAGCTAAACAATTGTGCACAGACCTGAATTTTCCAACATCAGGTAGTTTAGGCAAAACCAGTTTTCAAAGTCACTGCTCATATTCTACCTCTGCAGTAATAACTAGATTGCCTTGTGAAATATTCTCATTATTTGAACAAGATGATGAAAGCTAGCAGAACATTATCTAGAGAAAATCCAGGGCATATTGTGGAAAAAGTAACTAAATTGTTCGGAGAAATGCAGGAAGGAAGAAGTAATGTAACATTACATTTGACAAAAATAAAATAAAATAATTGAATGAAGACATTTAATCCAGTGATCCTCTGTGGGGAAATATTTTGAAAATGGTTTAATAAAAGCATTCAATAATTAGGAGCATATGCTTAAGTGTCCGTACATTAATTAGGAGAATCATTCGTAAAAAAATTGAAGATAATTCACAGAGCAGGGATTAAGTGTTAGAGATAGCTTTGGAAATGCCTCAAGGTACGGTATGTTCATTGATAAAATGATGAAGCTGAAAAGTAGGTATGGTGTCCTAAGAGCACTAGCAGTAAATCAGGCTTTATTTTCCAGAACATACAGTGTTGGTGTAAAAAGGCAAAATGCTCAGTCTTTCTTTCTCCTGCAACCTCTTAATATATTGTCAAAACTTAAGAGATTTTCATGAATGAAGGAAGATAAATGACTAAACCATCATGCATTGTACTGAAAGTTTGCTAGATCTTTTGCATGAAAATTATAAGGAGGAAGACTGCATCTATCATTAGGAAGAAGAGGCAACAGAACTCCTTAATGGTTCCCAACAAAGCTCTATTAGGCAGAGATTGTTGTGAACGTGAAGAGAAGTAGTATGCTCCAATGTGATGAAACTGAATTATGGAAGGGAAGGAAGAAAAGAAATGAAAGAAACTTAAATTCCTTGACTCGCATAGATTTTTCTTCATCTTAAAAAGATGAAAACCAACCAAAAAAAATCAGTATAGTTGTCTATTTGAAGCTCTTATTAACTTTCATACAGTAATAAAAAGGGTTTGGATCTATCCTTCAATAACATAAGTACTTGAAATCAGATGGAAAAAGTAGCAAAATAAAAAGTTATTGTCAGAAGATGTCTCCAGGAGTATTTTAAACCTGTTACATAAATATCAGAAAGTATTTTGTTATTGAGAAAACAGAAGGCCACTAATATGTTTGTCACTGCTACTAATTTTATAATTGTAACCATTTCACATGTAAACATTTATTACTGTGTAAGGTACTGATTTTAAAAAATACAAATGATACTGAAGTTCAAGTCTATGTCTAAAGCTAATTCAAATTAAGTAGTGCTTTCCAATTGCCCAACTGCATAAATCTTACTTTCTTCCATGCTGAAAATTCTACTCTTCTATGAAATGAAAGGAAGTTCCCATTAAATTCTTACATATAATAAAAGAGTAGTCATTCTTTAAAAGCTGGACCTTTTATATAACTATTTATGAATCAAAAAAGATCTGCAAGCCTTAAAGACAATTTGCAATGCAAAAGCTTTGCACTGTAGAAGAACCATTCTAACAGTCATGGAAAAAAGAAAGATTATTTTCATTGGTGTGTTATAGTAACATTTTACTTCCCAGTGGATTTTAACTTTCATTTATATCTCTTAGAAAGTATAACATAGCAGTTATTTATTTGTTTTAGAACCCAATTATAAGAATGTTTTGAAATAATTATGGATTTATAAAACAGACTGTATAATAGAAGTAAAATTACATACTTTAACAGTATCTGCTTTCTACAGTGAAAAATAATTTACACATACTATCTCATTTAATATGATACACCTCTATTTCTCTAATAGTTTATCTAATAAATTTTGAATCTTCCTTCCTACACACATAATTTTTTTTCTTGAGTTACAAATTTTACAAGCTACCTTTGTAAATATATTTACTATGGCATGCTATCCATTCTTTCTAATATTAACTGACTGATGGTTCAAATATAACAAAAAGGTCAAAATAAATTCTAACCATATTTTGTAAATGCATGTAGACACTGCAACTTTGATAACTGCATCTTTACTTTCTGGTCTTTTTATTTAATTAGGTTAAAAAATGTATGTTGAATCATTTTAATGAAATATGATAAGTATTTAAACTAATCAAAATTAAATAAAAATCAGTTCATTATCTCACTTTGTATAAAAGAATACTTTTGACACTTTATTAAATATTCTGTACAGGAATAGAAAATGAAAACTAAGCTGATGTGCAAAGGACTCAAAAAAATTGAATCATCAAATGTGGTAACTGTCTATCTGGAATACTCGAAATTCTTATCTATCAGTACTCAGGTTAGAAGTGTTGTTTACTAATAAAACATATCAATAATATGCAATGATGAGCAGAAATGACAGAAATGTATGAGTAATATAATGCATGTATTTCAAATAAATTGCAGGATAAGAACAAATAAAAATACATAAAATTTAGAAGGAATATTCTAACTATTAGGAAATCAAGAAACTATTGGAAGTCCAGTCTAGAGACATACTAGTAAAAATATTTAAAATTATTAAACTGATTTTTTCTTAATTTTCAAAAAAAAAAAAAAAGTCAAAATTTTTAGTTAAAAATTTAAGAAAATTTGCAATATAATACCTATTCACACAAAGACCAAAAAAAAAGTTAGAAATTGAAGAGTTTTTTGTTCAGCATAGCATGGGAGTGTAATACATAGTATGTCTCAACACCCTAATCTTGGTATGATACAGGAGGTTAAACTATATCTTCCAAAATGCACTTAGTATTTTATCTAAACTATTTTTATTCATATGTAAGCAGCATTTGAAAGGGCAAAATACACTTTAATCGAAGTTTAATTTTTTGCAAGGAGAAAGATGAACACATTCCATTCTATGCTATCAAGAGGAAAGGACTGGAAAAGCTGTTCTGCAGCTCTCACTCTTGCAACATCCCTAAAAGTGCTTCATTTTCAGATTACCTTCACAAAAGTTTAGGAGGCTCCGCCAGTGCTTGCTGAAGAAAGCTTTAGGGATGAATAATAACTCACTACAAAATAAGTTTTTTTCTGAGCCTCTAAAGAATTACGTAAGAAATATTTTCTCACCACTGAGCCTAATCATTAGAAAATTATTTCGGATGATAATATCTAACAGCCACCAAATCTAACAACTATGTATGCCTATGCATTGTGCATGTGTGAATTTGTGCATTTATAGAGATGGAAAGAGTCAAGCAAAATATCTGTTTATATGCATGTACATGAGGTACAGTACATACACATATTTAAAGATAATATAATATTCTCACACACTTATATTAAAAGTTAGAAACTAGACATAATCAACATCTGCTGCAACAGAATTACCAGATTATTATTTACTAGAAAAGTAAAGTAGAAAGATGAAAGCCCTCTTAATAAACGGAATATTTTGATTAGCACACGTTCTGCTCATACGCTGAAATCTTAAGTAAAGGATTAGTGAAAATTAATCTTCAAGTTATCCATGCACTTTCTGCCATCATTAGGAAGTTACACTTGAATTAGCAATAAAATAATCTCCCATTCTACCTATTTAGAGTGACACTGATGTGCAGAACATGTATTGTCTTAAATTCTTTGGTCAAATGTCTCTCTATTAAGTAATTCACCCAGATAAATGCTAAAAGGCAAAACAGCATAATTCTCAAAAAATTTACAATCTAAAATGAGTCTAAAAAGCTGAATTCAACTGGCATGACCAACATTGAAAGGACACAAACTAATGTCTGATATAAGTAATTGTAGTGGTACCTGTTTTAAAACACATTTCACTACTTTACTGCATCAGTATATGTTGCTATCTTACTGTTTGCACTTAATTGCCGAAGTTTCAAGAAATATGCTCTTCTGTGTTTATCAAATAATTTATGGGTCTCAGATCCACTATCAGAGGAGATCTGACTGCTATGGATTAATGAAAATATATATTATGTCACTAATAAAAAACAAATAAAAATAACAGATATTTGTTCACCAAAAGGAGTTCTGACTACTATTTGGAAATATGCCATGGAAGAGCAAAACTCACTTGGCAGAAATAAAACACTGTTGATAAAATAAAGATGTAGAACAGTCTTGGTTTAACAAACAGAATTTGGAGAAGAAAAATCATGGATCTACTTGCATTAATCTTTTAAACATTCTCCAAGGCACTACTATTCAAACGGTCCTACTGTACAATGTTTTATAATTTGCACAGATAATATTGAAATCTAAATGGATAGTGGAAAGCCTCAAAAATTAACTTACATGATCAATTAATTCACGAACCATTCCATTCCACTGTCCACTGGCATCCTCCTGGGCTCCATATTTTCCATCCTCCACCAGTCTAATCTCATAGGAAAATCCAAGGATAGTAGACAGCTCCCTGAGAAGGTCAATGCAATAACCTTCAAACCGATCATTTCCATACAAAGGTTTATCTGACTTCTTGAACATTACATATGGCTCTTCCTGTAAAATTTGAAAAGACAGAACAAATATTGAATGCTCCCCCATATCTTCCTTTTTTATTCTTTCTTATCTAAATTATTATACTATAATGATTACCCTCCCTGTAAAAAGAATTAAATGAAAAGTAGAATTCTCTTAACTTTTACCTATAAGTCTCATTAACAAGTTACATAATGCATTAATAATAAATGCATTGTTTGGATGAATACAGTAAGCCTCTCATAACACAATAAAAATGTGATTTAACAACTGAACAAGAATAAAATTTTAATTCAAATCCCAAATCAATCAAATGCTTTAAGAATCAGCTTTTACATTTCTCTTGATATGAGCTCTTAATTGTTTTCTCAGTGGTTTCATAGATGAAGCATAGAAAACACACAAAGAGAGAAAAAAAAGTCTGCCTTACTGCTTCAACTTATATGCTTCCATTTTTAATACTGTGGCAAAAACAGACAAAAAGTTAACTCAGAAAGTCAATTATATGGCATATGTTCCATGAAAACTGAATTTAATTTCTTTAAACGTTTATTTTCATATATGTTTATAATTTAGACTATGATATGACTTCTCCTCATAAAGTGATGTGGAAATATGGCAGTAAATAACTTAAAATAATCATCAGAATATTCATAATTATAGGAAGAAATATTTAGGAAAATGCAAGGCTTTAACATCTCCTTATTTAGGGTAATCTTCCTCAAATACAAAGCTGAAGGAAAATATAAACCAAATAAATGGTTGGGTTTACTACAAATCTTCAAGTTATATGTGAAAGGTTCAATATATGACTTAGTCTGTACTTGTGCATTAGAAAGGTTTTTCCCATTTTATACAAAAATAAAAAAATAAGAACAAAGGTAAGAAAAATGGTAGTAGATGCAATTACTGCACCAAATACAAGTTTCAAATGAACTCTCCAGAGTAACTTAATAGAATTCATAGAGCCCTAAATCTCCACATCAGCATTCAGTGGGGTTAAAGGCACTTCATTCCACAGGCATGTGACAGCTTTACTAAGGATCTGTCAGCATTTCCAATGTAAACCTGTATCTTGAAGTGACCCATGATTTAAGCTTTTTTGTCTATATAAAACCAGAATGCTGGTATGCAGGATTTTACTCAGAATGCAAAGAAAGCAAGGAGACCGTTTACTCTCAGAAGAAATTTCTTCAGAAGATGTTTGTTTCCCTGTTGAATTTTTCGCTCCTCTTAAGGAACATTGGATTCATTGGGGAGTGATCAAAGTATTCAACACATACAAAGTGGTTGCAAACTGGAATATGAGAAGTTATTTTCTGTAGATGGAACAATTGCTAATGGCCTTAAATCTTAACAAAAGAAATTCAGGTCAGATATAAGGAGGAACTTCATAATGATGGGCATAATTAAGTGCCACAGTAGATTATCTAAGAGCTTGGACTGTGTTGCTAAAAGAAAAAGATAACCTTAATTACACACAGATATAAAGAAGGCAAAGAAAACAGCTACCTGGGGAACTCTGCTATAGAAAGAACATTCATCATCTAATAAATTAAATTCTGACAATTAAAATTTGTCTACATCAACTGTTCAGTTCAGTGGTTTTGAAGTTCTCAAAACGTCTGGAATTCCTTCAAACATATTATCCAATATTAAATTGAAATATTGAATAAAATTATTTACGCAAACTTTAAATTCAAAGATTTATACCTGAAGATGTAAAAAATCTCAGACATGTCCGCCTCAAACAGAACAATATTAAGTTCCTAGATAGCTTGGAATGTTCATATACAGAGACCCTAGACGTCTGTTCTCTGAATTGCTCAGATATTTACAGTCACACGTCCCATAGTCTATTTGAAATCAATCTACTAAACAGAAGTTTTGCTTCTATCTCTCATTCCATGCAACACTGTATTGCACGGAGAAGAATTTAAATGTGTATGATATCAGAGAAGTAGTATAATCATCAGTGCATGCTGTTATGTCTTCTTTATCCTGTAAGGACAGACAGATTTCCTTCACTGAGACACGTAGCTCATCCATACATTCCTTCATATTTTCCTAGAGCATCATTACAACAAACCCTGATTTCTGTATTTTTACATTTCATTAAATACATATATATGTATTGCAACAATTAAGGGTTCCAATCTCGTCTTCTTTTATTATTCTTTCTCTGACTTCATTGGATGAGGACTACAATAGTCCTTATGATACTATTTTACTATTAAATAATTACAATATTTTGTTATGGAAAAACTTTTGATGAGAAGTTTCACCAATGATTTACCACAATACCCGCTTAATATTGTTGGAATTCCTATGTTATGCCCTCAATTAGTGGCTCTCGATGTTCCTTTTAGAGTCTTACACTGCCAGAATTTTACTTGCAATTTAATACAGTTCCTCACTTAGCTTTGATAGGATTCAGTGTTCATTTCTTGTCGGAAGCACCACATGTGATAGCTCTTTTATATATTACCCCAAAGTTTCCTCAGGTCCATCTCTGCAATGTTTAATGTACATTTTAAATACTGAACATAATCGTTTCTTTGTTTTTTTCCACATAAAAATACGCTTTATTTCTTCAAGGTTGAATTTACATACAGACAAATATTATAAAATTGATTGTCAGGTATACCCAGGAAAACATCAAAGCACTAAACATACAATCATCATAGCTTTCTGTCAAATTATCACTTCTACCAAAATCTTTCATAAGGACAATTATAAACCATTAGAGATAAAATATTTAAGCCAAGTGATTTGCAAAGACAAGCAACTGTTTTATACTAATTTAGTCTTGTTCTAAATTTAATGCTATCCTTTGTTCCTGAAAACATGACTCCCCGAAATTTACTACACCATAAAGTGAGTTGGTCAGAATTGTTTGCATAATGTTTAAAAATATCCTTTAAAATCTAAGCAATTGCAATTTAGATTTATGAATAAACATACTCTTTCAAGTGGACAGGCTTCAATTAATTAAAAAAACCACCAACAACAAATAAACAAAAATCAACTTCCCCATAACACCATTATTACTGCTTGAAATGCTTGAAGTAAAAGCCATTGAATAAGCACTGTCAAATGCACACATTTTCTCCAAGAAAGATTCTTAAATAAATCTTCATGCAGAGACACTTTTTAAAGAAAATGTGTCTACTCTGAATTCATTTAGGCTATAAGAAAGGGATTCTATCGTGACTTTCTATCAAGGATGATTGTCCTGAAATGAGAGCAATCAAAGTGAGAGTAAATAACTGCATTTTAAAAACATTTATTGTCATCCAAATTATTCTTATCTCTAGTTTAAATTATTTTTGATGTGTGAAATTGAACATGGAAAATAACATTCAAGAATATCAACACAAAAATAATTGAAAGGAAAAAATAGAAAAGTCTGAGGGATTGTTCTCTAACGAAATGAAATAAAATATTAATGATTTGAAATGTCTGTAAATGCACTTGTAATGAAGAATTCATTATCTTCTTCATAAAGGACAAGGGAAAGGGGGAAAAAGAAAAAAGCACTCTAGAAACATTCAAAATAAATTTGGCCACAGTTGGACACCATGTGATTTATTTCACAATACGTACTAAGAAATAGTTTTGCTGTAATTTGAAATAGAATATATATATATGTGTGTGTGTGTATATATATATGTGTGTGTGTGTGTGTGTGTGTGTGTGTGTGTGTGTGTGTGTGTGTTCTTGGACTACTAAGCAACAGAGCTTCCATAAATATAATACAGTGTTTTTCCACTTGTAAAAGGTGCACTCAAGTACTTCCCAGCACTGGGAATTCTTTTTGATCACCGTTTTATTATAAAGACACAAAATATTATTATTCTTTTATGTAAATAAGGGCTCTAAAATCTAGGAAAATCTAAAGAAAAATACTGTAAAAGTGGTGTATGCAACTCAAATTAAGTTATACATAAAAAAATACATTAAAAAGAAAAAGATAACGCTGGTTGTAACAAGACCAATGAAAGAGTTATAGTCAAATAAAGTCTTGTTACCATTATCATTAGTTGAAATTGGGAGGCTAGTTAAACTAGAATTTTGTCACAAGATTTAAATCACAGATATTTATAATCCTTAAGCAAGAAAAAATGGAGTCTAAATAACATATACTCAAAGGTTCACATATATATTCATACTTTTGTTTCACAATTAGATGATCTCCTTAATAGTATTTACTATAAATATTTTTTTTCTAAGAAAAGCAAGAAATGGAATGGGTGCTATTTTACTGCCAACAAGCAACACTATTCCTTTGTCAGAAATATGCAATATACTGCTTCAGCTTTCAATATATATCCCTATCATCAACTATCAGGTTTAATTAGAAAATTCAACAGTAGTTTTGTTTTAACTGGTTATATTCCATTTTGATTTCCATTTTCTCTGCAAGGAAAGGCTTTAAAAAACTACTTCATTTAAAAATAAGACATTTGAGAAAAATAACTAAAGGAAACCACTAGAAAATTGATTCTTCACAAGAGGTAAGTTGTCAAAATCTCTAGCATTCAGATAACACTCTCTAGTGCTTATTACACATTTTCAAATGTATTATATTTAGTGCTAAGTATCCACATAGCACTTGAAAGAAGCAGTCCTATGAACTGAAATGCTCAGTTTTACTAATTCCATATACATAAGCTTCAGTTACCCGGAGAATGCAAACATCTTTTGTGCACAGGTTGCCGTACACATTCAGTCAGTATAACACAGATGAACAATTTGGAAAAAATCAGCCCAACGGAAAACATTCAGCGTTGCACAGAAATTTTTTATCTAGCTTCTTCAAATTTATACTGGGTGCATTTGTGACAAATCACCACAGACCAAGAATAGATACCATGTGTTACCAAAATACTGTTTTAGAAACCATTAGTTTTTTGTTATAATAATGCTATTTTAAAAGGATGGTTAAAAAAAAAAAAAAAAAAAACACTAGGAAATTAGCTAGCTTCTCCATGTAAAGGAGAACTTGATCATTGTACTGA